GCAGCTGTTGTGCTCAAAACCCCAAAAACCTCATTGGTGACACGTACTGCACACCTGACTAATTCCACATGCTTGGGTTAGAACTAGTCAGAAAAAATAGGTGGGAAATCAGGGTTCATGAATTCAGCAGTAAATCACGTCCAGCTAGCACTTGTCTCATAATACTGCCACCTCACTGCAGTCTGTTCACCTCCGGCCCCTGACAGTACAAGACCAGTTGCATTTTACTGGACAGACTCTCGCTATGTGGGAAATCAGAGCTGTCCAGTCAAGTCTGATCTGAAGTGATCTCTGGTTTTTTTTCTAACGTTTTGGCTAACATCATTGATGAAGTTTTTGGTTGACCTGGGGGAAATCTGATAGTATAATGCTCTCTCACAGTAATGATCCCACTTGTATTTGAGTTAGATTTCATTTCTCTACCCTCTGTTGATAGTGAAATGTGAGATGCAGAGTTTTCAGGATGTGTTGTTTGATTGTGACTGTTTTATAAGCACTCTGAAATTATACAGGGAGTTCTCTTTCTGATCACACAGGAACTCCTTGTTCTAGAATCTTCTCCTGTGTTATGACTATGAGTGTTCTGAAACCTGAACGTCAAACCTGTTGTCCGTCATAAAAAGAAAAACGATCAAAGGTGGAGTGGAAAGATTTATAATTGCTTCTTTAAATATTGTATTTGGCCAAGCAAAACAAAACGCCTTCTCCTGCACGCTTAACCAAACACTCACTGTACAGGCCTGTGGAGCGGCGCTCTTTCAGAGCCTCAAGGGACGCACGTGGCTCCTCTGCCCAGCTGGGCTGTGGCATTTCAAAACGGATCTGTTGCGCGTCCATTACTAGAGTGCTGCTTATACCTGGTAAAGGTCATGGCAGCCTGGAACTGATCCTGTGCACACAGACTACAAAAAGGGACTAATACACAGTATTGTTAGATGGTAGAACCACACCAATATAAGCTGTACTGCAGAGTGTAACTAAGTGTTACAGAGGAACGGGCCGGATTGTCTCACAGTGATACGTACTGTATATACAGAATCAGCACTTAGTTATTCGAAACTGAAGCACTATGTGTGCCAAAGCCCACACATCCAAACGCATAACTCTCCGTGTGTCAGTCACACGCAAAACACTGACCAATGTCTGCTCATTCAAATACATCTTAGATACTTTTTTTTTTACATTTTCACGAAGAACGGGGCTGTCACCCAGTCTCGTTAAACAGAAGAGTAACTCCAGTGTACAGTGTACCAAAAGCCTAAGGTTTTATCGCTGGGAGTCTTATTGATGACGCCTTTGAGGTGCTTTTTGCTGTCCAGTCTGCTGCTTCATAGCTCGTCTGCCCCTCTATCTCATCACGGCCGGCGCCTTCACCGGTGGTGAGCAGCGACCCCTAGTGCCGGGTGTGCGAAATACCTTTGCCACCGTGTCCTCTTCGTTAAAGGCATAGGAAACCCTCGTGTTGTTGTATGCCATGTTTACAGAGCAGGGCATGGAAGCGTGGTTACATGTATTAATGATGCATGCGCGAAGCGGCTCATAAGAAATTAATTGGCTCATAAATTGGAGACACGTGCTCACGTTCCGTTTATTTGAGGACAACGTCACTGCGTCGCCCAGATGGGGGCTGCGCATTGGTGGTGGTGGTGTAGGGTGGTGTAGAGTTCCCATTGCAACATATTAGTATTTAATTATTACTAGTGCTGCTGAATTGGAGAAAAAAAACACGAAACGTCTGTATATGTAATAACATCGAGGCCCAGCAAGAGACATAGCAAAACGGCGGTACAAACGAAAATCCCAATAAAATATCTTTATTTCTAAAGAGTAATGCAGTATATCAAACTGAGACCCGGAAATGATTTGATAATACAGGACCTTTAAAGGAACATTTAACATGAAATCATTACAGGGATTTTTCAAAAAGGTTCTCCATGACTGGAGGACTCCAACCTGACCACAAGATGGCGCTTCCGAACCGAACATTTTGCTGCGGTCCGTGTTAATCAAATTAAGACTCCAATGTGTGCCTAAACATGTCCAGTATTCACACGTATTAAAATACATTGTAATGCTTATGCATCACATTGAGATTACAAAATCAAGGCTTTTTATTTTCAGAAGTACACTATGGTGTTTTGTCCTATTTGCACAGATTTTTACACACATGAAAGTAGTGTGCGATTTGCTTCCCAGCATGCAGGTGACAGCAGTTTTACCTTTCATGGTTCACAGACAGGTTACTGATTTAGAATAAAAAAAGCACAACTCTGCACAACAGGTCAACACACACATAAAGCCTCACTTAATGAACGCGGCCAGTGCAGTTGCTTACCATGCAGCGGTTTCGGACAGATGAAATAACGAGAAAGGGCAATGTGTACACGAGCTGCAAGGCCGAGCCTGCTGCGCAGGCGCATGGTCCGAGACCCTGGCCACGCCCTGGGCGAGACAGACCGCAGGCCAGTCCACGCGTGTTTGGGGCGCAGGGGGGTAGCGTCACTGCTGCTCTTCCGCAGCCTCTTCTCCATAAGCAAAACAGGTTATTTTTCGCGGAAACCTTTTGCTAGAGAAACGGAAGCCTATGAGGACAACACAAACCACCTGCTGGGTCAATAAAACTGCCTATACCGAGAAGCAGATGATGGAGTGCGACTCTGAAACAGACTCGTAGATTAACTTTTAGTTTGGATCACTTTTAAATTAATTGCACAGTCGCACAAGCATCTACATTTGTTTTGATTTATTTGGTTGGCACACTGTATTATGAGCTATCCGATTAAAATCCATCTGAAACTGATGTATGTTCCAGACTCCCACAGCTCAAAGCCTGTCCCAGATGATGCTTTGGTAGCTCTTTAACAGTCTAGCCTGTTTCCCATCCTCATTACTATGTTTTTGATCGTGAATGGTTTGTGAACATCTCCTGGCAGACGACGCCTGTATGTTCAAGCACGTCTTGCTCAGATCTGAACGGATCTGGTTAATGGAGGTTTACAGAGCTAGATGGCACCAGTATCCCTCTTACAATATCTCCAGATATTCCAGCAGAGTCCCTGAAAGTAACACCTCACTCACGTTCAGAGACAGATGGAGACAGCGGCTACAGTCCAGACTCCCCTTTCCAATCTGTCACGCTGCCTTGTGCACAGAGGACCACCGAGACAGTGTGCTGTTTGCTCAGGCTTTATTGAACATCTGTACAAGGAAACGTTTTCAACTGTTTCAAACCAGAGCGCCAGATGGTAAATAAAAGAGTTACAGAGGGCTATTCTGCAAATGTCCTAACTCTGGAGATTCCCAGCTCCAGTCCTCACGGTCCAGTGGGTTTTCTGTGTTCTAATAAAATTGAACAGCTTTTCACCCAGGAGCAAGTGTTCAATGGACCCAACCAAATATAGGTTACCTGGACCAGTACAGCTGCTGACAATGTAAAGACATGTAGAAAAGCTACTAGATTGTGGAGCTGAGGACACATGTCCTGTGCCTTCCTCCTCCTAGGGGTTTCCCTAGCACTGTATCCATGACAGTAGGAATGAGCAGACTTATAATGGCAAAACACAGGAAACAAATCTAAGTCTGTCACCACCAGTCACACATAAAGCCAGTGTTTGCTCACCCCTAAAACACAGATGCACATACGGCAAATAATAATTCATCTTTTGTCCACCTCTTGTGAAATGACGCTGAAATGGGCCAGCCCTTTCTGGCTACGGTAGAGTGAGCGTGATTTTGAGTTTTTAACTGTGGCTTTCCGAGACATGACAAAGACAACAGTTTCACACGATGACAATCCAAAAGCGAAAGAGGAAGGGAAGAGTTGCTCCATAGTGAGCGTGCGGATGGTTCTGGGCTCTACACTGTGTTGCTCCTGAGGGCTGGCAGTAGTCCTCTGTTCACCGTTGTTCTGTCAGGTGTGTGCAGAGCCTGAGCTAGACATTTTACCCATGGTTCCTAGAGGCAGGGGGTCACTGTCGTCATGGTGCCGTGCTGCCAAGCCCCGCCCCCAAGAACAGTATTTCCAGGAATCCCCCTCTGAATGCCCAAGGGATTCCTGGGAAAACTGGACCCCGAGGACAGGGAGACGGCCCGCTGCCGAGGGCGAGAGGGATAGATCAGGGAACAGGGCGCTGAACCGTGGAAGATTACGCAGCGGAGAGGAAGAGAGAGGGAAGGAGATGGAGCTGCTGTGGTGATCCCAGCGAAGCACTGGGCAGAAGCAGGGAGAGGCGCTGGGAACGTGGGAATGCCGGGCTGCTGTGCTCTGACGCCCTTGAAGTTGTGCTCCTGCTCGGGCGAGAGCGAAGCCTCCCCACCTCCATGAGCGGCCAGCGGCGAGAGTGTCCCTCCTCCCGAGCTACAGTGCTTCATCTCAGACTCCCAACTGACCAGAGATGCAGCACTGCACCGTGGGCCTGGGGACGGGATTTGAACTGGTCCTGGAGAGCCTGGGAAACTGGGCGTAGGAAATATTGCCGATGGAAACTCCATTTCCCCCTTGAGCAAGGTCCTCACTTGGTTGCTTGCTGATGTCCCCTTGTCCCTGCCAGCCTGTGACACCAGATACAGGCAGCCAGCCACAGCCGTTTCCTTCTCAGAGCTCATCGTGTGGCCGAGACGTCATTATTACGTTTATTTGATTAGTATTCTTTCCACCTCTTACGTGTCTGCCTTCAATGACTACTATGCCTGTTGCTATTTCTGTACTGCTCTTAAAGTTCCACTTCCAGAGTACTTCCTGCCCCTGGGCATCTCAGTTCGGTGGTTTATCAGCCTTTCGTAGGTCTGTACTTGTGCCCCAGCGGTGGATAACGGAGAGTTCCACCAGCCTGGATATTCCTGTGTGTGATTCATTAACTAGCTCACTGGATCAGGCAGGAAAATTAGGTTTCCCTTCCTGCTTGTAATAATAATATAATAATAATTATTATTAGTTCCTGGGGTGTAAGTGCAACTAGACTTCTTTGACTGTGGTCAAAAGTTTCACCCAGGTGTGATCACAGAATATTTAAAGTGTGCCAAAGCAGACAACATCATGAACATTTGCAACTTGAGATACTTACCTGCTCGATAGCCATATCAGCTGGCAGTGCCTCTGCACCACAGCGTACATTACTGCTGCTGATGTTTTTTTGGAAGTGGACAAACAATCACTCACCTGTTCGTGTATAGTCCAGAAAAATGAACTCAACCTGAAAACATCCGTTTCTGTTCAATTGCAACCTGAAAAACATCCCACCACCGAAGGGGAGTGGAACGTGTTAGAACGGCACAAAACGGCAGAACACATCAACTGTCTTTCCCAGTGTGGCTCCAGGAGGTATTCCCTTTTGCAGTCGGAGCACCGAAAGGACCTCTCAGTATCTTACCATACCATCACACACACACACCCCTTTCGGGACAGAAATTGCATCTCAAAGAGGCTGTCGGATATCAGTGATAAGTGATAACAAGCTCCACTGGATAGTTTCTCTCCTCCGCTCATCGTTTCTTGACGGACGCCCAGGTGTCGGGTTCAACAAGATGGCTGGGCAGCTCGTTCCAGACGCCCTTGACCCGCTCTGCTCCGGACATCGCCTGGACAGGCCAGAGAGATCTGCAGAAACGGAAGGCAACATGGGTGAACTTGCCACGTGCTGCCTGCAGCTCGATCCCCCGGCAAGCAGCAGCAGCCATCGCATCACGCAGCGCACCGCCTCTGAAATGAGTCAGATACAGCAACGGGACTGGCGGGCCAACTGCTCTGGATGCTGCAGTCACCGAGGACAGCCTCAGAAAGAAGGAGGTTAAGGCAGGACAGATCGTTCTTGCTCCACCCTCCCCACATGCTGGAGTGCAGCCAAGTGGACACATCCTGGAGGCCTATCTGAAACCCAGCCATGGGAGCCGGGCTCATCGTGTTTCAAATTACAGCGCGCCTGGCCTTTCGCTCTGACCGCAGAGCAAGAGATGCGTGGGCGGCGTCGCCACAGAAGAAATCAATAATGACCGATGTCAACTGAACAGTTTTTCGAAACCTCCTGTCAATCTGGTCTTTACCCTCTGCCTTGCTTGTGAATCTGAATCCCTTTGGACAATAAAATCTGGATAACCTAGCAGGACACGCCCCGCTGTCTTCATATGGGGCTGTGCAGCAGCAAAAGGGGTAAAAGACACACGAGCTTGCATCGTCCTACTCGACCGGCAAGTGTAGACCGACCTGGGGAGTCCCATTCCTCTTGTTTAAATTCACAGCCAGCATGATCCATCCATCCATGCCTTCTTCTCCATGGATAGGTATAGAAATTTAATGTTTAATTTATTTAATGTTTCTTTATTAGCCCTATACAATTTCTTGCATTAGGAATTCATCTTTTCGCATACCCCAGCTTTTCTCCATGGAGACACAGACACACAGACAGGGAGAGAAGCTGGGGGTCAGAGCGCAGGGTCTGCCATTGTATGGCGCCCCTGGAGCAGTTAGGGTTAAGGGCCTTGCTCAGGGGCCACACGCAGTAGGATTCCTCTGCCAGCCGTGGGATTTGAACCGGCAACCTTCCAGTCACAGGGGCAGATCCTGAGCCACAGAGCCACCGCCCCGCCCAATGCCACTGCTCCGAAAGAAAGTACTGTAGCTGCCGAGGACCATTCAAAAATAAGGAATGCAATTCCAGGTGAATTTAAAAACTTCAATGTAATTTGTGCTAAGATTCCCCATGCAGGCAATGGTGCTGTGGTGTCAACATAGCATGGACACACACTGTCACAGCGTGAGATGAGCCGAGGGAGAAGTCTGTGAAGACAGCTGCTTGGTGATGGCGTGCAGCTGTGATAGACAGGGGACAGTGTGGGCAGGCCTCACCAAGAGCTGCTTTCTAAGAATGGGACGCGTTGGCTGGAGGGGATAACAGTTTGTGCTGGCGAGTGTGAACAGTAATTAACTCTGCAGTACCTCCGGGCATCTTGTATTATGCTCTCAGAATCAATTTCAGGGCTCGATCTTTATGCTGGGACTGGTGCAGACACAGTATCTCATTTGACTCCCAAAAACTAGTAGCTTATTATGAATTGCAGTACTGTACTCAGACAAAACAAGACACAAAGCGGGGCTACTCCGCTGGGTTGCCCTAGTCTGCTCCAGTGCAGTGCTCTGATGGACCCAGCTTTACTGCGGTATTGATCCTGCAAATTACTCATCAAAACATTATGGAGCTGGTTGTAGCAAAACTGTGTAACGGAGTAGATTGGAAGTTGTGTGTCTGGGCAACCCTGTGTTTTTTTTTTAAAAAAGGAGGCATAAGAAATCAGCTTAAAGTGTCCCTCAACAACACTGTGATTTAACCTGCTTTCCAACACAGAACACTGTGATTTAACCTGCTTTCCAACACAGAACACGTATGGTCCAAGGTCTCAAACAAACAGCATTCCAAACTAAACTTATCATCTCCTCTACACAGCTGTATAAACTAGGAACTTTTTCAAGTTTTAAAGTTGACGACTTTTCTTTTTATTTGCACACGGTTTCAGTTAGTTGATTTCTTTGCATCTGTGTGTGTGTATACGAGTTGTTGATAAGAGTTGATAACTCTGCAGAGCTCTGGGATGCTGTAAGACGAAGAGCACTATGAGAAAAAAAATCTGATTGGACTAAACAGCAGGATGCAAATAATCAAAACTCGTCATGTGCTCAAGAGTGACTTTTGCCTCCTGTAAAAATCTCAGCAGTTAACCCAAATCTAGTTGGCATTGCTTTTATTAAAGTGGTGGAGAGTGTCGGTGTAGGGGACTCTCCAGTGGCTGAAGTTCAATGTGGAAACGCCTGTCCTTCTGCACGAACAACAGGCAGCGCAGGGTGTGTCACTGTGTGGAGCCCCAGAAGTCCAGCTTCTCAGGACCGCGGTGAGGATTCACGGTACTGCCTGGCGGAAGTCAGCTGGCGAGGTTTAGCTTGTCTCATTGGCAGGACAGTGCGTTAATCATTTCTAAATATAACTAAGCAGAAGAAATCTGGGGGACTCATCTCTCACCTGGCTGGGGGCCTATATGTGGGTCTGCTCCAGCACAACTCTCTTCCAGATGTTTACATGGTACTGTGAAAAGGAGATAAAAAGAGAACAAGATCCTGTTTACATGAATTCTAACAGATGTCAGACAGCCCTGCGGCCAAGAAGTGTTGGTGAACCTTTCGATCCCGGGCCTGCTTTTACCAAACAAAGCGTGTGACGAGACCCTCTTTGAAAACAAAGAAACCAGAAACACACAGACAGCTTTCATCTTTATCGAGGAATGTATATTTGTTGTTGTCTGGTTCTGTTGCTTTTGAAATTGAAAGCTTCTTACAATAGTGCCTGATGGAAGCTCTTTATAAAAGAGTACTAGAAGATCAGATTGTGGATCTGTGCTGAACTGCTACCCTTGAGACATCAGGACAGAGCTCTCTAGGTCATTCCTGATCCAGGCACTATCTCCCTCTGGTGGCACACTTCTGCATTGCACACGAGAGAGACACCTTCAGCTCCTTGCCAAGCAAGTTCTATTGGATCCAGTTACCATAGCAATATTTGCAAAGCGTACATCATGCTCAGCTGCTCTTTGACTAATCTAGTCTGCTGAGGTGAAAGGTAAAAAAATACCTCTTGTATGACAACATACTCTTGAAAGAAGACCTTGACATCTGAAATAATGTTTTTTTTCTTGTAGGACTTAACATGTATGCGCCCATTAGGTAAACATGGTTTTGTACAGGAGCAACAGGTGTAGCTTGCCATACAATGATGAGATAGTAGCATTAGCACCTCCTAGCTTGAACTCTTCAGATCTCAGACGCTAAAGAGAGATAAGAGATGGGCTTGGACTGCACAGGGATAGCTGACCTCCAGGGAAAACCTAGATGCTGCTGTGTTGCTGGCTTTTCCCTCTGGACATGCATTTCCAAACCACGGCTGCAGAACAGTGACAGAGGACAACCCGCTGTAGGTCCTTCAGCTGAGCTAAACGGAGGTCTTCACTCCGCTTGGTCATTAAAGATGCCAAGGCACCGTTTGTACGGATGTTAACCCTGATGTTCTGTGTAAACTCCAGTGTGGGCCTGGAGCTTTTCTACAGGCTCTGCTGTGCAGTGGGGCTGCTGCGTGTCTCCTACAGGGGAGCTGCACTGCACTGCTGGATGAAACAGCTCCCCTGCTGTGTGTGGAGATCCTGGGATGAATCTGCAAGCAATTAAAATGGAGATCTGGTCCTGCTCATTTTACAAAGCTTCTCAATTCTCTTCTGAATGTATTTTCTCTTTACTTGTTTGTTTTTTAGGCATATGGAGCACAAGGAGCTCATCGCGTGTCCCCGGCTGTCAGGGGAAGCAAAAGGGAAACGAAAATGAGAAAAAATGAAAACACGAAAATTCCTCAGCTCTTTTGAGCCTGCTCCAAGTGCAGGCTTTAGGTTGTCTCAAATCGCTCTCCAGGAATCTGCCTCTGGCCTTATAAGGAATCTATTTTATTTTTGGGATAATGGAAAATGTAAGCAGCGCTCTCGATAAACGCCAGCGCTTGCAGCTCCAAACAGGCCACGATCGCAGGAGCAGATACTTTGTCACTGTTCCTTCGCCTCCCCCTCTCCTCCCCTCCTCCCTCCACACTTTCCCTTTTCTAGTCACATTCTGCTGGGGATTGACATAAAAGGAAAGGAGAGAGGATGCTGCCGACGTGGGCAAGACCACCTCCCAAGACAGATCCAGTAGCAGGGACCTGAAACACTGCTGACGCTTGGGTGTTTAAGTTCCACTGTGACAACGAAAGGCCCATGGAGCCAATTGCAAGTGGACCAGGAAAGCAATTTGGCTTTCCAAAGCGAGAAAGCGCACAAGAATCAGACACATCCATTTTAGGTTTTATAAGCTGCAGGCGTGTAGACATTCTTCTGATGGTGCAGAAAATCTGAACCTTTAAGGGGGATTCTGACTTAGAGGGGTTCAGTTATAATCAACACCACTGGCTCCTCAGACAAGCACAGACTCCTGATGTCTGATCCTGAGCCTCTCGTTCTGAGCAGGATCACCACTGCAATACTGCAACCACACATCACCAGCAGGGTGAAACGAGCCTGCCTCCCACTGGTCTAAACCCAGCTGCTGCTCCCCAGGAGCATGTGAGCAGTCCAGCGCACAACGACGGGATGAGCCGACATCGAGAGCTCAAAATGGGCCTGAGACTGGCGAGCGTAAGCAGAGCACAGTCCTGCTCGAGGAGGGATCATCTGTTGCACAGGAGTGTGCTGAAGGCCGACCCAGCGCTGTGCTGAGCAGTCAGATGACCACAGAGAGCAGATACAGTATGCAAAAGGAAAAGGTAAACATTGAGCAACTTCTTTAACTTAAGAGAAATAAAATGAAAGGCTTAGAACTCTAAGGTTCAAACCTTATTGCAAAAACTCCAGCACAACAGTGTCCCTGTTCTTGGATGTCCAAGGAGTGGGTCTGCAAGAGTTCTTGGACTCTCTGAAACACCAGCATCTGAAGTGTGGGGAGATTGAGCCTGTAAACAGCTCGTAATCAGCCCATTAACACCCAATCTGGACTGAAAACCGGGATTGGTCACCCCTGCTCTTGAACATATAGTGTATGAAGCTTGAACTCCAAGCAAGGTTTCACCACATTGAAAAACTGAGGCTGACTGAGACGCCGTTCCAGAGAGAGGACATCCAGAAGCTGGTGCTGTCGTGAAGTGAAATCAAGACTCAAAAGACTTTAAAATAAAAACACCCCTTCGTTATAATCGAAACATTTCTAAATATGGAGCACACTTGGCACTGAAGCAAAGAGCTTGGAAAAGTGCTCTGTGAGTTAAGCATTCACAGTTCAGCAGGTGAACTGTGACTCAGACAAAACCTTTCCGATTCTATCAGACAGACAACATTTGGTGATCTCTTGCAAAACTGGTGAGATAGCCCAGCTTCAGACCTCTCACTTAAAATCTACCAAATGCTTTTTGGTATAATTTGTACTAACAATGTACTGTAATGCACCTACCATGTCTTAAACAAGATGATAAATCAATGGTCATAGGTCAGATGGTTGCAAATGTGGTTTTTCCTGTGAACAGTCAGTAGAAACACACGCAGTTTCATACGCACACCAGGCAATGAGAAAAACATGTAGCGTCACAGCTGTGGGCATTGTAAGGGCTGGTGCTCATTACCGTCAGAATGTGTTGTACCTGATTAATGGAGTCCAAGTCGGCTCACTTCTGACCCTACGATGGTTCTCTCTCCATTTTTACCAAGTGCAAATTAGTCCTGCTCAACACCGCTTCCTCTATACGCAACGGCAGCGGGCATTTTCACATCTTCGCCTATCCTGTTGGGTTATTAAAAGTCAGTTAAAAAAAAACAGTACTTGCAGCTCCTTTTCACCTCCTTCTCTCATGCCTTCACAGATGAAACAGGGGCAGGGGAGAGTCTCTGAGTCCAGATGACTCCTTAGGCAGGAGAGCAAAATTGTCCGGCAACATCAGGAATCCCCGCCAGCTGCTCCTGCTAGCGAAACACACTGCCGCACTTCTACGAGCCTGCCTTGCTGGCCGGTTCCCAGCACTAATCATTTCTTCTCATGCGAGATACTTGGGCTTCTCAACTGAAAGCTGGCACACCGGAAGATTACAGCCACTCTTCCTCGGGGTGCCTTGTCGTTATTCCTGTTTTGCTACTGCTCTGCTCTGCCTGCCTCATTACAGAGCTGTTTGTTTTTAGAGGATTCCCGTGTAAAAAAAAACAAAAACAAGTAAAAGATCCAGGACTGGCCTTCCCTAACCTCTCAAATCGGATATGTCTGGCTAAAAGTTTGTGCTCAATACACTGTTTCGGACGCAGCGATTAATTGGTACTATTAGCGAAGCTGATGAAACGCTAGGAATCTGCGTTTAGGAGAAATAGCACCAGATTTAGATTGAGGGCCAGATCTCTTTTACCACCATACACCAGTAAAAAAAAAAAAAAAAGCTAGATTAAGACTGAACTGTTTCCCAGGTTCAAGCAGCGCTGAATGTATACACGCGTTTTCTTAGGAAGTCACAGGGATACTTCAGCGGTCTCTAAACTTTAAAGTAAATCTCCGGGAAGCATAAATGTCACTAAATAAACAGCCTCCCAAACCCACTTAACTACTATAGGACAGCTAGCAAGAAAAAAAGTTATATTACAACATAACTAATCCACCTTGTTCTGGGGCAATTTGAATTTTAGACATTTTTACAGTATTTTTAATCATAATTGGTTTCAATAAGACAACTGCTTAAACCTCTATTTTCAGCAACCCAGTGGTAGGAGTCACCTATTAGGCATGTATTTATGACTAACTAGCACATAAAACCCGCTGTAAAAGACTTCGTTAGGCTCTTAATTATGTTCTTCTTTCCAAGTGCATCACAATTAAATGACTAATGGCACACTAAGCTCTTAGTCTCGCATGAGCTGCCTGTTTTATTCTCACTCGAGAGAGTGATCTTTCTTTGTTAGGACCTAATTAGTTGTTTTTTTAGGTATTTCACGTTCGGGCTGCTCAGAAAAATGCCAGACATTTCGAATAGGTAATGCCTAAAACACAATATAACGTTGCCACCAGAACGGTCAATCGAGGGATATAGGTAGACCTATGTTCTTGCACCAGTTTTAGGCGGGACGTTTTGTTATAATGGGGGACCGCTATCACAGAAAGCACAAAAAATGACATATTTTATTTTAAAACCGGTGCTCTATGCACGGTTAAAATAAAGAATTCCCTACACAACAAGTCTGGAGGTCTGCCTCTTGGGATAGTTTAGCGAACGTAACGGAAAGGGCTGCTGTGCTGCTTCAGGGAGAAAAAGACAGAAGCTCTCAGGAGTAGACAGAAGTAGAAGGTGCGCCTGGGCGCGCAGGTTTGTGAACTTCAGACAGAGGGAACAGGCTCAGTGTTTACACCACGACGGGGCCCTCTCCTGATAAACACAGACAGAAAGCCGCTGTGCTGCCAGACACGGCCTTTTAAGGCTCCCTTCCCTCATCTCGCTAAATCATTTGGACAGGAAACGTGGCGGGGAGGAGGAGAAGGACAGACTTT